TAAAAAGATTACAGTCCAAGAAAGTGAGGTAAAAAGGATATGACAATATCAGGTGGAAAGAGCCAGACTATTTCTGAAAGGAATCTGTGAGAAAGCCTAGAATTGTTCATCTTTTCCTCATTAATCTTTTACACTATTAAGCATTTAATTCAATTGCCAAAAGTAGTTTTTTAAAAACCTGATATGTAATTGTTTCATAAAAGACTTGGGTGCCTTCTAAGAAAATGTAGGGAATTAAAAGCTTCTCGTACATTTTCACTTTAATATTTAATTAGGATAAAAGACCATAGTTTCAGAAAATCTGTGCTTTTATTCATGAACTCCATAAAATTTTAAAGAAAAGCACTTGAGGCCGGTGGAATGGCCATAAAATTGTCCTTTTCCAAACTTTCCTCTTCTCATTTTGTCCATCTCGGGACATTCCAGTACTTTTCTTCAGTGCTGCACAGGCGGCCATCTGCACAGGCAGACAACTCCTTATGGCCTGCGGTGTGAAAACCTCCCCGCGGGTGGACAAAATGGCGGCCCCAATGAAATACCCAACTCCCTTCTTCCTGCTATTCAGACCAAAGGCCGCGGCGACGTCATTGACTCTCCTATTTCTCCCACTCTCCTCACACCCATGGCGTGTCTTGATGGCAGTGGCTTCACAATTCACCTGGAATGCATCTTTCCATCCCTTCTACCTCCTACACACATCACTCCAGTGTAGTCCATGCCACCCATCTCTTATCCCGACAATCGTGATACCTTCCTAACTAGTTTTTCTGTCTCCCCTTGCCTCTTGCAGTCTCGACCACACAACAGATCACAGTATGATCTTTTTCAGATGTAAAAGAACAGCTTTCCTCTGTTCAAAACTCTCTAAACCATCACTGTATGACATGAAATAAAATTCCGAGTCATTGCCATGGCTTGCAGGGAATGGGTGCTCCCTCTGACTTGCCCCCACCTCCTCTCGTCTCCTTTAACTATCTTATCTACTCCTCATGCTCCAGTGATAACCTTTTAATTCTGAAAGTCACCAAAAACGATTTAGTCAAAGCCTTTGCCTGTACTGGTTCCTGTACTCAGAATTTTCTTCAAATATCCACATGGCAGGCTCATTACTACAGAAAAATCATCTCATCACAGAACCTCTCTGTGACTCCTTCTCCTAAGGAAGCCCCCATGCCCTTCTAGTCTCTTTGCCACACTTTAGTTTCCTCCTTAGCACTCACCACCGCTCAGCATAGTTTAATTCTTACATTCACTTTTTGATATCAGTCCCTGCCCTCTAGAATGTAAGCTCTATGAGAGCAGCATCTTTGTTCTGTTCTTTTCTATGATTCTAGTGCCTACAGTAATACACAGAAGATATTCAATTAATATCTAGTAACTGAGCAAATTTATTCTATCTTAGCAAATAGCATGGAGAGCATATATGCCTTTTGGAGAAAAGAATTTTTATATAGTATGTAATATTCTCAGAAATTTATTTTCTGCTTTATATTTCCACATTATATTAAGACTTATAGTAGAGTTATTTATGGTAATGGTGGTTTGTCTGACCTAGTCCTCAGAAGTCACTGTCCCAGGAATAAGTATAACTAGAAAACCGGCAGCAAGTTAAAATGTTACCCTTAGAAGCAGACAATGATTTCTGCCTACCTCAGTTCTCTTACAAATAGGTACAATTTTTCACCCTTGTTAACAGTTTACTTGTTGAAGCGTGGAAAGGTCAAGATCGTTCAACAGAGTGAAACCATTGAATTGAGGTTTGAAAGGGTCTTTACAGGTGATCTACAATTATCTTCCTAAAGGGTTTGGCCAATTATGATAGGATTGTTTTCAGTGACAGAACACTGTCTACATTGTTAGGTTACCCATTTTAGTTCCAGATGGACTTTCCTTAGGTTAAATGAGTCTGAATCTAGGTAACTTAAACACATTGGTGTTCATTTTTTGGAATCGAGAGGAAAAAGAATAAACTAGGAAATAAAGAAATCTAGAAGAGTGAAAGCAAGATGTAGAAAATGGAACTTTCTACTGGAACGTTCCAATCTTTCAAAGTTTAATTGTACCTAGAAGTGCAGAGATATTTATCTGATTCCCTGAAATCTAGGAGGAAGAATGCTACTTCATTTTGTGTAGAAACACCAGAGAAGTTTGTATTTGCTATTAGATCTCTAATAGAAAATGTATTGGTTAGTATTGCTGTGTAACAAATCACCCGAAAATGTAGTTACCTAACTCCATATCTTATGTCTCACAAGATACCTATGGATCAGCTTGGCAGTGCTACTGATCTGGTTTGTACTCTCTTGATCTCAGCTGGGCTTATTCATGTGTCAGCTGTTAGCTGGTGGATTGGCTAGGAGCTAGCTGGTCAGAGTGGACCTCTGTTGCAAAGGGAACTTTCCTCCATATGCCTCTCATATATTTTCAGCAGAGCAACAGCATACATTCTCATGACATTGGCAGGAGGCCAAGAAAGAAGGTGGAAATGTACAAATACATTTTCGATCCTCCCTTTTGCTTCACATTTGCTGTCATCTCCCTTTGTCATATTACTGAGCCAGAGTCCAAGTGGGAGGGGATCAAAAGTGACAAGGCAAAGGGTTTGGAAAGAAGGAGGCCATTGATGTAGGCCTTTAGTACAATCAGTCCACCACAGGTATAAAGCATGGGAGGAGAGGGTTTGACTTAGAGACAAAATATAAAGGAAGGGAGAGAAAGGAAGAGAGGGAGACAATAAAATCAAAATGAAAGATGCCTAGGTGAAGAAAGTGATAAGGAAGAGAGATTGAAGAGGTGGAATAGAAAATCTAAAAAGAAGGGAAAGCTATGATAAGGAGATCTGCAGAAACAAAACATGTGACCTAAAAAATAAACCTTATATAAAAATACAATATTCATGGCAATATAATAGGATTTTCCAGTTGAGAGCTTTATGAACTCAAGTTTTGCTTTGAGTATGGGATAAGAGGAATACAATCACTTACACAGAATTATCTGGTAAAATAGTTCTCACCTTGCAGAGGAAAATTATAGTCAAAGATGTTGGAGAATGAAAGCAAGTGATGAATACAAGTTAGTAAAGTTCTCATACTTAATCCTGATCAGGCATGTACGAATGCTATTTGGCAATTGTGACTTTGTTTTGTTAGGATATACAAAATATAACTTGAATTGGAAATATTTCGTATGTTTTTACTAATTTTTTGTCTTTTTGTCTTTAATTGTGTCCATCTTAAATATAAATGACACTTATATTAACATTTCTACCTCAACATGGCATATAAAACTGGGTAATAGTATAGAGTCCACTAAAAAAGGAATTACAGGGGTGCCTGGGTGGCTCAGTCGGTTTAGCATCAGTCAGTTTAGCATCTGACTTCAGCTCATTCCATGAAATCGTGGTTTGTGGGTTTGAGCCCCGTGTTGGACTCTGCACTTACATCTCAGAACCTGGATCCTGCTGTGGATTCTGTGTCTCCCTCTCTCTCTGCCCCTCTCCCACTCTCTCCCTCTCTCTCTCTGTCTCACTCTCGCTCTCCTCTCTCTCTCTCTCTCTCTCTCTTAAAAATAGGTAAACGTTAAAAAAATTTTTAAAGAAAAGAAATTACATATATGATACTGAGTATGGCTTAGTAATCACTAAATAAAGTATGTCAGAGTTTCATTTAGTGAATAAACCTTTAGGGACAGAAATGTTGGCTTTGCTTTGTTTGTTTCTGTTGTCCAAATATCAGAATACTTCATAAGGCTGGTTAAGAACTGGACATACTGAGATAAAATTGGCAATACCTTAACATTGTTTAAGAAAGGGATGATTTAGTACATAAAGAGAAAATGGCATCTTCCATTTGCTTGAAATAATTCCATAAATTTCAGATACTTAAAATTTCCTCTTTTAATTGGTTAATTTTGACCAAATAGTCCTTTTACATTTCCCTGATGTCATGGGCAAAAATAAGCAGTACATCCCTTATTGTATCTTCTCTCCAAGTTTTTCTCCTTCCTTCTCATTGCTACACTGGTTATTATGGTTTATAAGACAAGGTCAGATCTAATAGGTTCTTGAATGAATTACCTGCAGATGGCCCACAGTCTGCTTATGCCACCTTAAGATTTGTTGGTACATCCATCCTCCCCTTGTTGTTTCTTGTCCCTTTATTTATTGCAGACAGTTCCATGCCCATTTTTATTTCTATAAAACTTGTAATAAACATAGTAATCATCTCTCCAGTGACTGTTTTCTAAATCTAGAAAAATTGGCTCCAAGGATTTGTCTCATTTGTAACTCTTTAATATATTCTCAATGTGTTTTAATTTTTTTAACTGTGAATATTAAAAATGGCTGTCATATTCAGATTTGGGTTCCACTGAGATTTAAATTTAGGAAATGTGACCTTGAGATGACCCATCATAATTCATAAAGTTTTCCATGTAAGTTTCAATCAGAATAGTTCAACATCCATTAACATTTGCCAAGTTTCACCATCTATTAATCAACAGTGATATTGTTAAATATATATTTAGCAGTGCACTTACTTGTCCTTCTCTAGGTTTTAGATCTATAAGGCCACTTGTAAACAAGGATTTTTTTAAAAACCCATGTAAAGCAATATACAGTATTTTAGGAAAACAAATGGTACAGGAAGAGTCTATTCCCGAAATGAAAGCCAGTACTAAATGTGTTTACAGTGTGCCTATACGTGTGATGTTTTCAGCATTCGGCACCAGTTAGAGCCTCAGAAAATCTATTTACTTTCATCATCAAGTAGCTGTCTGTTGGACCAGGAGCTCTTTTGTCACGTTAGCCCATCAAAAGCACTAAACAGATGTTATTTTTGGGTATTGTATGTCTTCCTTGTCTAACATTTCCTGCTCACTCTCCCTGGTCCTTCATCTCCAGCACCTGATTTTCTTCAGTAAACAAGATGATCATGCTCCCCACTGCCACTCCGAAATGAAATGCAAATCTAACACGTAGCAATCTGCTTTTTCTTTTCCAGATTCCCGTCTTGGTCACACAGATAAGTTCGACCAATCACCCAGTGAAAGTGGGACTGTCTGATGCATTTGTCGTTGTCCACAGGATCCAACAAATTCCCAGTATGTAGAAGAAGGGTAATCGCAAAGTCTGAGCCTGCTGTGGGGGTAAATTTAAAGGAGATTGAGTTTAGGCAGATGTGACTGTTTGAACAACAGAATCACTTAGCTGATTGCTGCTTGTAGATTATTGTTTGGTTTATAACTCTTATTGGTATTCGCTGTCTCTCTGTTACTCTTCAACTAATAATTTAGGTAAAGTGAAATCAAATAGCTAAGCCAAGGGTGTATAATTTTGGATTCTTTGGTATAGTTAGCTTGGTTGCACAGATCTATTTTTTTTTTTTAATGTTTATTTATGTTTGAGAGAAAGCACGAGGCAGGGAGGGGCAGAGAGTATCTGACGCGGGCTCCATGCTGGCAGCAGAGAGCCAGATGCGGGGCTCGAACTCAAGAACCTTGAGATCATGACCTGAGCCAAAGATCACGACCTGAGCTTAAGTGACTGAGCCACCCAGGCACCCCACACAGCTCTATTTTTATCATTAATAACAAGAAGATAAAGGAATGATAGATGATTTCACTGATAGGTATATGACTATTATTTATTTGTAAAACTTAAATTTACTAACAAAAGAGCAGTTTGTGCCATTTTATGTCTATCATGTTTATACAAAAGTGTTTGATAGTCTAAAAGAAGATGACAGAAAAAAATATAAAGTGAAGTAAATAAAAATTTTGGTGGGACTATACCTACCAGAGAAGAAACATAGTTTCTTTAAATCATTTTTACTTATCTAGTCTAGTTTACATTTGTAGAATAAATACATATATGTTACTTAGTCAGCTGTTCATCATATTAGAAATTCAGAATATTAGAAATTAATCATATTAGAAATTCAGAAAACCACCACTGGTAGTAATTCTGATCATGTATATAGCCATCATTTGTAAGTTTCTGTGTTTTAAACCTTCACTATTCTAGAAGAGTCCTGAGGGATGCTTGGGTGTGTTAGTACTGATGTTTGTTTGTGTCCTAAACATGCATATGTAAAGCAAGGGGTGATCATGAAATACCAAGATTAGATCATTTGTTTCCCTGTTTGGTTCAAAGTCCTTATATTCCACTATAGGGGTAGACTTAATTTATCACATGCGTATGCTATTTGGTCTTCCCTTGAGCTAATTCTGTTTAATTATATCATCTCTCAAATACAGAGGAGGTAAATGGAGTGGAAATTATTTAGATTTTTCAGAGCAGCGGATTGGCTGGAAACGTTATAGGGATTATCTTACAACTACAATTTAGAATGACATTCAGATGTGGGAGTTCTGCTTGCTGAAGAACTTGAGTCTTCCATGGCGGTTTCTCCTTGTTAGTGGAGAATTAGTGGGAAGTAACATTCGAGGGAGCTGTTAAATCAAGGCAGATTTTCCAGAAACGAAAGTGTACAATGAACAAAGCAAGGATATGTTAGCATGTGTAGACACAAAACGACATCCTCTTTAATAAGAGGCCATGTTGTGGGAGAGCCAAAGTTGATTCCCGTTTGAGGAGTGTTTTCACATTCCTTCTTTCAGGGATGTTAAATCAAGCATGACTTGAGCCAATTATTACACAAGGAAGAGAAAACACCAGTTTTAGTTTATTTGTGGGTTCTTTTCTTCTGAAGAAGGATTTTGTTTGCAGCTTCCTCAGAAGACAGCTTGGTCCATATTGATGTTCTGATATGTTACTGTTTTAACAAAAAGACTCACCCAAGTACAAAAGAAAAAAAAGAATCACAAATGTATTTTAATATGCAAGTGTTGTCTCAGAACTGAGGCACAGTAGAATTTTGGGCTCACGAATTACAATTTTGCATCCCTTGCTATAATGTAATAGGGTAACCAGTATGTCTTGAGGAAAAATATTCCTCCCAAATATAAATTTTATTGAATAAATTGGCAAAATTCATATGAATTTTGAGAACAGATTATGTCTAAAGTTGAGACTCAGCATTCATCCGAAACAATTTCACAAGCTTCGAGTTCAGGGAAAAGTGTCTCTCAGGCAAGCTGCATGTTGGACTAACATTCACATTTCCTGTTGACCTCACTGTTCCATCCTGAGAATATTAGCTGAGAAAGAATGGAGGTTCTGCGTTTCTAATCCACTCGTCCCTGCCTGTAGATGGGACCATATTTCAATAAGAAAATTGGAATTGATGTGTTCTATTTAAAAATCTTTTGGGGAAGGGAGCACCTGGGTGGCTCAGTCAGTTAAGCGTCTGACCTCGGCTCAGGTCATGATCTCAAGGTTGGTTTCCAGACTAAGAGTCCCGCATTGGGCTGTCTTCTTTCAACACAGAACCTGCTTCAGATCTTCTGTCTACCTCTCTCTCTGTTCCTCCCCAACCCTCTCTCTCTCAAAAATAATAATAATAATAATAATAATAATAATAATAATAATGAATTTAAAAATCTTTTCAGGAACAGAAAAATTTAAGTCTCCTTAAAAATCTGTTCCCAAATTTATGTGTAATAATGTCTGTTACATGAACTTCTGTATAAAGGGAAAGATATGTTCACATAGCATTCTCAGCCTAAAAGAAAAAAAAACACACATATATGCCAGAGATTAGGCTGACCGAAGATTAGCATAATACAAGCTATAAAATGAGTACTTTTTCCTGAGAATTATAAGACGATTCCTAGAGATCTGTATGTTACCTGTTTGTGCAATCAGAATTTAGAAAAGCATTTAAATCCATTTCAAAATTCTGCTCTCTTATTTAACAACCCTCACTATTAGGAGTCATCCTCACAGGGAATTTAAATCATTCATCTCTGTTCCCCCTTTTTCTTCTTCTGAGTGAATTTCAGGGAAAAACTGATCATTATCGTAAGTAATGAGTGGTTTCATTTCTTCTCTATTGCAAGGTACGTTATATAGGACCCTGTTCTCATAAGATCAATTTTCTGTTCTTTTAAGCATTTTGGTTACACGGTTTATGTAGCACTTAGATCCTCAGCTTAATCTCATGGCAACATCGGAGTGCAAGCTGTAACCTTGAGAATAATTTTTCCCTGTGGGACCACCATTCTTGGAGGTCGTTACACCATTCTTATCAGTTGGTCAAGTTTTGGTAAAGTATTTGTAAAGCTGTTAGGTAAGTTTAAGTTATTTATCATGAAGATTTCTCTGCACCCTTTCATCGTAATATCAACAACGGAAAACTTGTTTCTCAGTTTTTGAAGGCTTCCAAATAATAAATGATTTCAATGTAACTTTCAAGCATAGTTTATTACCTTAGTCTTTATCTTTCAAAAAGGATCAGGTGATCTGACAGTTGAAAGTAGCAAAGGGAATTCAGGCATTGTTAGGAAATAGTTCTGAGGTTACAAAGGAAATTCCTCTGCTCCTTCCAAAACAAAACAAAACAAAACAAAACAAAAAGCCCATGGTGAAATTAACCCTTATCTCTAAAAAATAAAATAAAAGATAAAATTAGTTAGCAGTCCAGAAAGTATAAAGGTTACCTTAATGGGAATACTAATAATGAGGCCTTGAGCATTTTATTTAATTCCGATAGCCTTTTTTTTATTTTATTTTTTTTTTAATTTTTTTTTCAACGTTTATTTATTTTTTGGGACAGAGAGAGACAGAGCATGAACGGGGGAGGGGCAGAGAGAGAGGGAGACACAGAATCGGAAACAGGGTCCAGGCTCTGAGCCATCAGCCCAGAGCCTGACGCGGGGCTCGAACTCACGGACCGTGAGATCGTGACGTGGCTGAAGTGGGACGCTTAACCGACTGCGCCACCCAGGCGCCCCTAATTCCAATAGCCTTACAGACAAAATGGTCACCTTAATACCTAAGATACAATGGGTATGTTGCATGCAGTATTTGGCACAAGGTAATCAGCACTGTATTTGTACATGTATTTATTGTTTATTCATCATAATCAACATTATCACTTTAAGACACTGATGCTAAGATGTCCACACCCAGAACAATTGCTTGTGAGACTCGGGCCACAGGAGACTCCTATCAGGAAACACCTGACACTCGGAAACTCTTCCTTAACTAAGCAGCGTTTGCTTTTTGATGTCTTGCTGTGTCTGTCTGTGTGTACCTGTGTGTCTGCATCACCTTCTATTTTTCATAAAATATTTTGTAGAATTTTAGAAACAAAAAGAACACAGAGATCAGCTGGCTTCAGTCTCCACAGGTACAGATGTGAAACACAGGTCTGCATACAATGACTTGGATTGTTCATTACAGAAACCCAAATGGAAGAACATACTTGTGATTATAAGCATAGCGCATGTTAATTCAGAGAAATCTGTACATTACAGGGAATGCACAGAAAAAAATTTAAATGGTCCGTAATTCTACCACAGGGAGATAACAATGTTTCCGCGTGTCTGCATCCAAACTTCTGTTTTTAGTATATACACTCGCAGACACATGCACATTAAGAAAATTGGCATTGTGTTAAAAATATTTTTGTCACCTATTTTTCTCTTAATATATATAACACATTTTTTTTCTGCACTGCTGAATACCTGTCTAAAATGTGGTCATTAATAGCTGCAACAAATTCCTTTATTTCGTAATTTATGTAACCTGTCTGGGCACTAGTTTGTCATGTTTGTTGCTTTTCATATTAATTATCAGTAAAACAGTGCTGAACATCTTCGTTTTCAAATTTTGACACAACTGATTGCTTATAAGCGAATATGTAGCCATTGACTGTTAACGGGTTTTTATGCACTTTGACAGGTTGCTTTCTATAAAGGTTGTAGCAATTTACTCCCCCCGCCCCAGCATTTTATTAGATATCCCATTTCCCCAGATGCTCCCAGACACTGTCCTCATTTTTTAAACTGAAAATTTGATAAGCAGAACGTGATATTTCATTGTTGCTTTAATATTCTGTTGATTACCAGGTTTTCACATTGTCATGTATTCGTAGGTCATGTGTAATTTCCATAATTTCTTGTCAAATAGCTTTATTAAGTAATCCTTTCTCAGCCTCAGCTTATGTGCCTCCAAATCCTTTACACGGTGTGCAAAG